TCTCGCATGCACGCTGATTGGCCAACAGTAGACGCATTGGAGTGAGTTTGTTTGACTGAATCAAAGGAAAAATGTCATGCATTCACAAAGGTCGTTAATTATGGATTCAACTAGCTGTATATACCGAAATGTTTCACTCGTCCTGTTGTTTGCTGAATATACGTTTTGTCCCTGAAGGACCGACTTTTTACACTCTGGCCCGGATTTCCTCTCACACGCACTATTTAAGGATGGAGGTCAGGCACTTTACAGAACACTGACTTCCCTATTCAAACCTAACTGGAAGAAAAGAGTTTCCCGGCTAACGAGTGAATCGATTTTAGTGGCAATATACAAGAAGGACACTCGCACAGACTGTGCTAATCACAGTTGTATTAGCCTGACGCCAGTTTGAATAAATTACTGGCCTCGATTCTCGTTCGTCGCCTCGCTGTGGAACGGGTACCTCGGATTAGGGAAAAGTATGCAGGTTTCCCTCGTGGACGTAGCCGTATGGACCACATATTCACTCTGCGGTAGGTGCTAGAGCAGCGCCACGCATACCGCAAACCGACAACCGTTGTGTTTCACAATTTCAAGAGTGCGTTCGATTCAGTCGAGTGATCCACTTTGTTCGAAATATTTGCGCGGGTAGGTTTTCCCACGAGATGTGAACATTCTACATGCTCTATATTCGAACACTACAGGCCGCGTCAGGGTCTACGGTGACCTGTCAGATAGCTTTCCGACCACAGGGTTGTCCGATTTCCCCATTTCTGTTCAGTTTCGTCGTGGATGCTATCATGGAGTGTTCCCTTACGGAATCTCACGATGTAGGTTGGTGGAACGTTAATTGATCTTGATTATGCGGACGATATCCTCTTGCTTTTCGACAATGTTGCGGCGGCACAATCAGCCCTGAATATTTTGTCTAGTGTGGTCCCATTATTTGGCATGCACTTCCCACCTTCAAAATGCAGTGTTGCTGCAGGACCACCAGTCAAGTGATGACCCCTTGACTCTTGCTAATGAGGAACTCGCGCTGCTTGATCTATTCATTTGTCTTTTCAGCTGCATCAGCAACGATGGGCGCATAGAAACTGAAGTCAGTTCACGCATTGCAAAAGCCCGATCTGCCTTGAGCCTGCGGCATCTTTGGTGACAGAAGGGAATTTCCCTCCGTCTGAAAGGCTGTGTATACAAGGCCACAGTGAGGGCCGTTCTGCTCTATGGTGGTGTAAGTTGGTCCCTTCGGTCTGAAGATCTGAGGCGCATTCAAATCTTTGATCATCGTTGTCTGCGAAGCATTGCTGATGTCGAATGGCACCAGCATGTCCGCAACCATGGTGTGCGTAGGTGAGTACTAGGTGGTGATAATCATGCTAGCTCCCTAAAACAGCACTGAATGAGTTGCGTTGGCTCGAGCACGTGCTACATATGTCTGGTCACCGGTTACCTATGAGGGCCTATTTATTCTGCCAGGATGGCGTAGGATGGCGCAAGGCTCGAGGTGGACATGATGTGACTTGGCAGCGGGAAATGAAATCACTGACGACTAAAGTCGTGCCGTTGGTCCGTTTCGCCTTCCGGGCTGGAGTCCACGTGACCCGCCTTGTGCTTGGCACGAGACTTTACAGGACATGGCGAGTCTGCTGCCGTCTCCTAGTCGGATTGCCTGTTTAAAGTGTGTTTGGTGCTGAGTTATCTGCGGGGTAATGGCTGATTATGACGCGGGGCAGTGAAAGCCGCAAGGAAGCTGTCTCGCCGATGCCTTATCTTTTCACAATAACCAGCTGTTTGTGACGGTATGTTGTTAACACAAGGTGTAGGCGCCTTGACCCTGAATGTTTGCTTAGGGCATTAATGTTTTCCGGTAAGTCCCCCTTCCCCCTTCCCTCTTATTATTCTTTATTTTATAGGTCATCAATGTCGTATGGCAGCGAGGCATCAGTTCAAATGGCTGATGTACTCTTGTTGTTGTTGTTGTTGTTGTTGTTGTTGTTGTTGTTGTTGTTGTTGTTGTTGTTGTTGTTGTTGTTGTTGTTGTTGTTGTTAATAGGTTCACAACTGACCCACGGGCTGTGGTCCTGTACTCCACTCATCCGTGAACCACGTGTTCTGAGATCTCACAGAACCAACCAATGACGTGGCTGAATTTCATGAACACTGATTGAACGGTAGTGTTTACTTAGCACGCGCTCTAGTTCTGACTGGGAGCATCATGTTACATTACCTCTGATTTGCAGCCTTTTCCGACCCAGCGCAATAACAAAACTAATGGTGCTGTTGCATTCCGTTTTTTGACATACTTCATTTAGTGACTGCAACATTTAATGACTGTTCTGGCCATTCTTCTTTCCCTTGATAGTTATTCGCATTCTTACTCCTATACCTATGTTGGCAAACAATTTCACTGTAACTGGTGTAAGCCCAGCTATGCGCGTGATACCTTATTGCTCCAATCTTTGTTGCATATCTGGCCCGAGCCATTTTGCTTTTGGCTCCTGTCCATCGGGTAGGCTCTATACTTCCCTTAGATGCATTTTACGACGCAGTATTACTTGCACCACATCACTATCATTTTATTCCCCGTCTGTGCTTCTCAGCAGCCGGCACGTTCTCGTGTGACCTCACGCTGTGACAGAACCTTGTCAAATTTTATTAAGGGTCACTAAAAACGCATATTCTTTTGGTTCTGGACTATTCTGCCCCGTTGACTTGCTGACTAATAGTCGTATCCAAAACAAAGTGGGAAGCGACTCAGCAAAGCTAGTATACAAAGGAAAATGCAATTTAATATTGGAACATAGAGTTCCCACTTTAATTCCGAATAGGAAACTCAGAAAAATGCGTTATGAGATTACTCAGTTATTTCATGCATGCTTCTCGACCACATACATGCAACTAACGCTCGAGGATATGTCAAGAAAGAGGGATCGATTAGCTTCCAGTTGATGCGCTTTGCACTACCGCGGTAAGTACAATCATCGTTGGATGTTTTTGTACGCAGAGCCGCGGGCGTTCTCGAACACAAACGATAGCTTTCAGTTGCCTGGGCCTCTGATTTCGCATCAGGACGGCAAATGACTTACCGTGTATGACGGGTGGCCGGTGCTCATTGAATGCCTTGTGATTTCCGAGGCAGCATGTCTCCTCGATTCATCCGATTACGTCGTCCCATTAAAAACGTGACTGCGTAACCACTTGAGATATCTGCATGTCGGTCGGTGCGTTCAATAGCTATCTCTGCAGATGCAGGTACATTTGTATAAACAATAGGAAATGCACCGCCTCCTCGGTTCTTTAATCGAACACCTGCACAAGCCTAGTCGACGTTTGCAGACGTAGTTCTGTTGCGTTGCACCTTTTTTCAGTGCGACACGTGTCTTCTTCGTGGTGACTCCCATGATGTGTTCACCCTTGAAGGTCAGCTGAACAAAAATTTACTTCTTTTGGACGGTTAAATAAATAAATACACTTTTATTCTCGGCTAAGCGATGCACGCCTGAACAGGTATGATCATAGTAAGAGTGCAACAGATGATCAAGGGATGTACAAAAGGATGGTCATAAAAGTGTCATATATGTTGGTACGTGAGTGTATTTATGCATGCCTGTAGGCGTGTGTAGCTGTGCTGTTTGGCTTTGTAAAGGTTTTGCTAGTGCCTGAACGTGTCGCCAATGCTAAAGGGATCTTTGACTTCCGTGGATTTGCAATGGTTGTACGGATGAGCATTACGTTGCTTGTATACAATGCTTCGCCAGTATGAAGCAAGAGGCAGTGATTTTATTTAGCGGCGTGTCACAACCGTCACGTCTCAGTGTTGTTAAACGAACATTTTTGGCTTTTTTTAGGGTGAACGCTTGCTAAGCGAACACCCACTGCCACCGAACTATTTGCTGAAAAGCGGTAAACCCGAACCACCCAGCTGGCACCACGGGGAGGTTGTTCGGCTAGCCAGCATGGTTATGTCACTAAGGCGTTTTAAGAATTGTAGTGGATAACCACGACTGTGTATGATAAAGCAGAGCTCACTGTTTCTGTTGGGTCTCGTGTGCGGATCATATACGTTCGATAAAACAATGCATGGACAAGAGACCATTTATAAAGGCGAAGCTCTTAAAATGCAACAGTTCACTTGTCTAAATTGCATTTCCTCAGACTAACCACTTACTCGAACTGTTCGGTCGTCGTGCGATCAGTATTGACAGTACAAGTATTGTTTTTAAAGATCCAATATAGCTTTTCCATTTAATTTTCTCATGAATTTTGTTCCGATATGGCTTCGAACCGGATGTCGACCCGGAAGCGTTGCTTGGACTATTAAATAGGGCATTGAGAGAGTAAAGTGCCAGCTGTGAGCTGAAAAGCTTTTATAAATATTGCTAATATTAGTATTATCATTAGTAATGATAATATTGATTGTCGAGTTTTGAAGCACTCGCCGTGTGTCTTGGATTGCGACACACAATCTCAATTGTAACTTCGGTTGACTTTGACGTCAGCCTCTGTCATTCTGATCACTGGGACAGTCACTGAATTGGGGGGTTTAAGTCTTGCTCTCATATGATACTATTGGTATATGACGATCATTTTAGCGTCTGAGAGAGTTGATGTACTTTCAACCTGGGTACTCTGTCCGTTATAAGCGATTTAGGTCAGTGGAAATGAACGACTCGCTTCCCACAGGTGACGAAATAAACTAAACAATGGCTAATGGGGTAAGTTAGATGGGTTAGTTAAATGACCTCAACTCTCTACCTTTACAAAGTGTAAACGTTTCCCATGTGCGCATGTTTCTTCCATCTGGGTCGGGTGATTAGGCGATAGAGAGCCGAATTCAAGGCACATTTATCCATGTCGCCTATTTGTTCATGTTTTACATAGACACTATGTGAGTCTTTAATTCGCTTGAGATTAGTTGGAGTAGTATGAAAGCAAAGAGCCAGTGATAAGGATCCTTAGTGAGTTAATGCTCCAGGCTACTCTTGATAAACACACCCATTTTCTTAACTAGCAATATGTTTTCTGTTTCCATGCTATTCACTTGCTTTCATCATTGCGATGCCATGTTAAATGAGCATATTTTGCCGACACTATGTCTGCCGTTCTACCAATCACTATTCCGCACTTCAGTTCGTTATTTGTTCTTTTGTTGCTCTAGCACCTTTAGAGGGTCATTCAACGAAAATCTTCCCGGGGCATCCTCTCTTCGATCGGATAAGAAAAGTGAGTCATTATCCCATTGGTATTTTGCTTCTCTCCTCTTATGTGGTGCATCCATAGTTTCTTTCGTCATTGCTGCCGCATGCAGTTTGAGCTCGTAGTCCCGTGTTTATGCTTGTGATCATCTCTATCGCTTGTCCGCTCTCTGTGGCTTACCGATTCTGGTGGAATTCATTTCTTTTGCGATCCTACACAAGCATGCGTTCTTCAATGCCTCATCTTTGTTTATGAACAGTTCTTATTTTATGTTTTTACTAATCATTATCATTGCACGTTAGCTTGACACCAGAAACACCTCAGAAGTTGTGCCACAATACAAAAAGACAAGATGTTTGCGAAAAAAGCGAGATACCAAACCTTACGGACTACAAGACAAAAACCAGAAACGAGTGATATAATGCTTACTATAAATAAATTTAAATGAACTTTTTATGCTCCACAACTCGAGGCACGCCTTTACAGGCATGATCATGTTATGATAAAGCGTGAACAACAATCTACAAGAATACAACATGTTCGCTATAACAGTGAATGTGTGTATCGATGCGTATGCAATTGTGTATAGGTGTAGCTTTGTAACCTGTGCTTGTAAGTGTGCCGTTTTATTTGCAACTGATTAATAGCGTCGACGATGTAAGGATAGACGATTGATGTCCGTGGATTGGAAATAATTATCCAGATATTCATGGGGCAGTGACTTTAGTTTGAGGCGAGTCACATTCGCCTCATGTTTTGCCTTGGTAATATCCTCTATCGCTTGGAATCTCGGTGCACGTTTACTGTTACATGACGGTGCGTGGCTGATTGATCGACCTCGTCGTGACTTGCTACTACCATTGGCCATCTGCCGTTTTTTGTTGATTTTCGTTGATTCACTACATGATGCGTGTTTTTGTCTGTAAATTCCTTGGCTGTATCCTTCGATGTCCTATTAGCTTTGTACTGACACGCCGTTGAACCTAATTTCTCTTGGATTCTTGAGACTGCAGTGTGTCGCTATCCTTGCGATTCATTGTTAATACCCTTCAGCTTCATACTCACTTTCCTTTTACACGGCTTAGGAAATCTGTCGCCAATGTTACCGTCGATCCCTGTTACTATTTTTTCACAGCATACGATAATAGGATGGATGTCGATGACTGTATTTTTCGCACTTCATTTGTTTCGTACTCTGTTGAATTGGGTTAGATTTGCAAAAACTGATCGTTTATTTTATACAGCAACTACCTCAGTTTGGACGATGCACCTGCTCCTCGCAAAAATTATCAGTACTCGGCCTCCATCAATTTGCAGTGTGAATTTTTTGTTTCACTTATTATTTTGCTTTGTCATCCTTCCTTCCCCAGTTCCTGTCGGTCGTGTTCAACCCATGATCAAGCATGTTTCCTCCACCACTTGCGGACCTAATCGCTTTTTGCCATCACCTTCGTCGAATATTGTGCAGAACGCGTTTGGAGTAAGTTACCCCTGCCCTACACTATTCTCGTATTTTTATGTTTCTTGTGTTGACTTAACCAGTAAGAATATTGTCCGTCTAATTTAGAGCAACCTGTGCGCAATTTCTATGTTTACTGGCTATTAAGCACCTCCTATATCGGTTCTTTCCACTGCTGTTTCTTTCAGCCTTCTGTTTACAGCGAACTCAGCCTGCAACCGCACCAGCAATGCGGGGCTGCTCAATGCGCAGCTCATGTTTTGTGCCATCGAAGATCTCTCTGTTCTTCTGATAACCCTTCACTCGGCTTTGTTTCCAATGGTGCCAATTACCACAAGCAGCCATCACGACTGCCTTTCGCGTGCTCCGACTCTCAAACGCAGTCTGCACGACACTTATCTGCGGCGCACGCAGCTGCGGCTGCTTACCACAATTTGATGTATTTTCAGCTCCAGCAACAACAAGTTGCCGCATCGTCCGTCAATCTTCCAGCCGGCCCCACTGGTAATCCGATCCACTTGCACCCCTCCCACCATTGTGCTTCATACACGGCCACGTCTGTCCAGCTCCCCGTGTTAGCCGAATCTTGTTGGCCTTCAGCCAAGCCGGCAGCCCCCAAGCTGGATGATCCGACCGCAGCTGCGGCTGCTTCTTACTACGCCGCGGCAGCGGCAGCTGAACTGAAGCTGTTAATCAACCAACGTTCCGTCCAGTTGGGAAATCCAAACGTCCTATCGGCTGCCGCAGCTGCCGAGCAGCGTCAACAGCAGTTTGAGTTGGAATTACTTCGGCAACAAGCCCAGTCTAATTTGGCTAACAAGTTCTGAACGCAACTAAGCACGCCCCAGACATTTATTCGTTTTTTTGCTTGTTACTGCTTTCGTTGCTTCCACTACTGAACTACCTCTATTTGTTTGTGATTCTGAGGCACTCGCACATCTCTATGCTGTGGATCGTTTTTTCGTTCCTTTATTCCTCTATCGTATGCTTGTCTTTCATGCGTTTGGGTGCGTACCCGATTCTCTACTCAGTCATCTCTCTTCCATCGTCTCTTGCATTCCTGCCTAACTTCTGGCTACGTTTCTGTCTGAAACGCCTTTGTTCCCTCCTTTAAGCAAACCAGAGACGAATTCTGGCAGGCCTCACATTTTTGTTCTTATGGTATTGTTCCATTGTACATACTTGAATGATTATCCCCTTATTCACCATTCTTTGTAATCGCTTGCTTACATGTTTGCACTTCCATTCCGTCAAACGGTTCGGTATTTATAATGTGCATCAATGGCTGATGAACACACATGCTCTCCGTTTTCATTGCTGCATCTGACCTCCCTCTTTCTCTTTCACCTTGATTGCACACTTTTATCTTTCGCCCATGGTTTTTCTCTCTTACACACACACACACACACTACTGTTTGCGCATTAATTCACACATCCAGTATGTGTGCACTCTGTGATTCTGATTTGGTGTACCCCACCAATAATGTTTCATTCGAGTCATTTCTTTCATGTGCTTGGTTGAGGCTTCTTTGTTCGCGTTCTATATAGTTGCGTTTTGCTCTTCCGCCATTCCGACAACGTGCTGCTCACCTTCACGCATTCGATGCGTCTTGTGTCTTCTTGTCATGAGTACTGATATTCGGGCGGTCCGCTTACACCTACTTTGCCAGACTAAGTCCGCAAACCGCACGCGGTGATCGAACTACCTGCGCCTAACTTTCCTCATGGTTACTTACACTACTCTGAACATTCTCATGCATCGGTCGCGGCTCGAGCTAGGGTATACATCGTTCACAGCTTCAGATTGGAATCCTCTCGAATGGCCGTTGGTGTGTATCTTGTCTGGCGCTGGTGTTTCTGCCAAATCTCCATTCGTCTTTGTCATATCATTACATGGTCTAACTATGCACTATCTAGTTGAGGTTACGGGGAATATGTATGCTCCAATGAGTCATCCAGTTTCATCAGTCAGATGAGGTGTTTAAACTGATTTCACAGCATACGCGCAACTGCCTAGGGTCGTGGCAACTCTGTGTAAATATGCCATCCTCTGACAATTGATCAGAGATAGACCCAAATACGATGCATCACTTATGTCTTCAAGGTGGCAGGATTTCATCTTTGCTTGCCACTCATCTTGAGCGCGTATGTCCTCGAAATGTATAACACATCTTGCTTTTAATCGGAAACTTCTTTGGCTGTGACACCTCACGGTTCGCCAAACCCACCATGACACCGTAGTTACTGTTTTCGCCTTAGTAATCTAACGATATGCTGTGTCGATTAAATGAGTATTCAATTGCCATTCATGAAGCGGGTTTTTTTCGACGATGTCAGTCTTCGGTATGTCGAACACTAGGCATTTGTGAGATCGGTTACCCTACTGGAATCTCGAAAACCCGTACAATTTGGCTTAAGTGGTCAGTGCGAGTGATAGGGGAACTTGATGGGCTGATGATGTTCATGAGATGGAGAATGCCTGAACAGCAAGCAAATTCCATGAGTTCCAACTCCTCCTCATCAGTGTGACAATCAAAACCAGCGCCGATGTTTTGCTTCTCGATAAGGAAGTTTTTGTTGGGTGGACCACTTTCGGGAACATCCCCCATGCTCTTGAGCCCCTCTTTGCTTAGACTCCCGAAATCAAATCTAGAGCAGTTGTTTTGGAGGCTCTATCTGTATTTGATCCACGCACGATCGCAGCTTTCAACCGGTTTGCGTTTTCTTCCTCCGTCGCTATCTTACACTAGTGTGGTGGTCCTCCACGAGGATTATCGCAAGTCGAGTATATGCGGAAGGTGATTGGCTCCGCCACCTAAAGTGAATTGATAGGTGGTGCTGTTCAAGGTTACTTGCGACGGAGCTACTTTCTTGTTCATGGTTCTGCTGCTTAATGTAACCCTGAATTGTGCGAACAGGTAGATATCCTACCAAGACGGTGCTATGCACGATATTGTTGCTATGGAACACTTGCTCGAACAAAGTCTCATGTTCCACAGGCCACTTTAATCACGCTCCTCGATCGCTTCGTCTGATTCGATCTACTTGCCTGGCAATGTTCCAATGAAATATGTGAGTGCTTTGTGGGCCGCGTGGAACTAAATTGCAGCCGTAAGCTAATTCAGAAGGGTTGACACTAGCAGTAGATTGAAGAAGAAGGCATCAGCAGTACACCGGTACTCCGTACCGACGCTTCACTGCAACGCAGCTACCACTAGTCGCGTGTTGGCTAAGGATACTGCGAGAGGCTCCTGGTTCCCTACTTGGGCTTGAACCGGTGACATTCAGGTTGCAACGTAGACGCCTTACCCTTTTCGCCACTAGTCGGCATCCATGCTTCTGTCAGCCGGTGAGATACTACCCTGTTGCCAATGCTGAGCTATGTAGTTGTCTTAGGGGACACCACCCTGAGCTTTTGGCTAAATAGCCTATCCGCAAGCCAGCGGACCGAAGTCAGGGAATCGCGCCCATTGGAGCTGGTGGCCGATTACTCAGTTCATACGCCTTTCTTTTGGTTGCTAACCAAATAGGACCCTACAATTTCAGCATCAGATTTATGGAATTCAACGCTCCACCAGAGTGAAGCAATGGGCGGTGACCTTATTTATTAGCGAGCCACATCCGCCACCTCGTGGCACTGTTAAACAGTCCTATGTGGCTTCTTATGGGGAGAACGCTTGACAGCCAGAAGCCCACAACGTCCTAGAACACTGTCGACGAGCCATTGGCTGGTACGGAATAATCCCGAACCACCCAGCTGGCTCCACGAATAGGTTGTTCGATAAGCCAGCCAACCGGTGGAGGTCATGGAGTAAGAATGCGACGGGGTGTTAACTGCAGGCTGTCCATACCGTGGACTAAATCAGAGTCGGTTCGATCATTTAATGTGCGAGATATGCGCGGGTTCACAAGTCTCTGAGTGCAGTTATTGAGGTTTTGCTTGGAGGAGAACTGGTGGATTTCGATCACTCAGGCCACGTCATCCTCTGACTATCCGTGCTACCGACCGCTCGCCAATTCCTCCACTTTTGGCACCAATGAACTGGAGCTAGTTGGTTAACTCGCTTACCTTGGCAGCGATGCTCATGTGATTCCTGAAATTCAATCATTTCTTGCGAAAACTGCAGCTGCGTTCATAAATGCGAGACACTGAGGATTATCTTTCATTCGGATGACGCTCGCCGGTCGACATTTTACGCTCCGCTGCTAAGTCAGTTTGCTTCGTTTATTTCTTTGTGCAACGCATCGTTTTTGTGTTATTTGCTATGGAACTCGGTCTCTTTTTCGATTCTGAATTTCTGTATCGTAAAGTCGTGTTCTATCTACATTTCTAGTGTCACTTTCATATGGCTAATTATGGTCCACAGATCGAATCTTTGGTCTTCCTAGTTATTTACCGTAGTAATAACGAAGCAAACACCCTGTAGTTCCTGCTGCATGATCGTTTGGCATCGAGATAATGTCGTTATTTACTTTCTGTGTCGTGGGAATTTGCACGCTTCGTGTGTTGGTCTTACTATTGAACAATTTAAGCTTTTACGTGAGATTAAGAGCGATTATGTCCAAGTATTTTGCGAGCAGTGCCAAAGTAAAATGCAACAAGTGGAAGTTGATAAACGCCGCGAGCCAACAAGGAAATCAACGCGTTCCAAGGCGAGGGGCTCCGTGTGTTCACCTCAGTATGCTGACACCTAGTCACTCCAATGCTCGAAGGAGGTTACTTGCCCACCGACTGCGGACTTTTCAGTACGATGTCCATCCGCTACTGAAGGTCCAGTGGGCGTGCTTGTCTTTCGTCCAACGGGCACTGGCAAGACGGTGTGGGATAACGCAAGCAAAGTAGGCGAATGGTGAACGCAACAAAGTAAAAATGAGAGTAACTGCCAGCGGCTTTGCAAGTATGTGATATTTCACGCGCCTGAGTCAACGGATACGAATCCTCAGGCTCGTTATTATCACGAGGTCGAATTTCTACAGACCTTGATTGATAAGCTCCTTGACGTGAGTGAACAGGAGTTGTGGATGAAGCAAATTAATCGTCTTGGCAAAAGAGAGGAGGAGAGAGACTCTGTCTCTGTGAGTCAGCTTTGCAGATGAAGCGTGTCCGGGGCTGGTACTATCGCGCCTCGGTAGGCTAAAAGGATTGAAGATCCATATTCATCCAGATGTGGATTCATTGGACCGGGTGGATCTGAAATCCGCTATTATTTTGTTAAAGCGGCGTAATGATAGTGAGGAAACTAATCATCACATCCTAACTTTTCGAATAGTTCCCCGGGTCCGCCGAACCCGGATCAGCAGGTCGATGACACTTCATGCTCGCCAGGCAGCTCCTAGCGGGGCCTGCGCGTAGCCTTCACAAATGTTTGCAGTTGAGTGAACACACGTGACGATCTGTATCACTACGTTGCCTCTCGTCGTCCGGAGGTTTTAGGAATAGTCGCAACGTGCTTAAATCCTGTGATCATTACCCATAAATTCCAGATCAGTAGCTACTCGTGCTTCCGGTGCGACAGATTATCAAACGAACGCGGTGGTGTGCTGTTATACATTCGGTCCTTGCTGTGCGGGAGACCGGTAAACACATACCGAAGCAAAGATGGCCTGTGCGAGCAGCTTTGGTACTCGATCCGCCTGAGATAAGGTGAACTGTTTTTGGGTACAGTTTATCGAAGCCCGCGAAGTCCATGTTTGGATTGGTTACCGCATGTCAGACGATACATGAGCCGGCTGCGCTTCCTGCCTATAGGTGAGTTTAAATTCCCTCGAATACTGTGGCCTGAGGTTCAACTTGTCCCCGGGCACTGAATGCGAGGCTCAGTTTGCGGAGATGATATTTGATACTGGGGCAGCACAACATGTCTGCCAACTGACACGCATTACACCGCATTCCACTTCACCGTGCTTGAACCTACTATTAACTAGTTGCGAGCAACGTATTATGATATTCAGGTCTTGGGGCCTCTGGCAGCTAGTGACAACTCGATTGTATTAGTCAGGCTAAAACTGCCGCTGCCCTACTTGCTTCCACTAGAGCCGTCCTACAATTACTGGAAGACCGACTTCGACTTTGATGGTCTCAAACGAGCCGCTAGTGAAGTGGACTGGTCGCTACCACAGCAATCATCTGTTGAAGCTTATTGGTCTGTTATGAAAAGGGGTGTGCAATCATTGTGTGCTTGTTTTGTACCGCTCAGATATAGCAAAACTGTACCAGTGAGGCCAAATTGACTGGACAAAGAGTATGGCCCATTGACTCGACGGCGACGCGTATTGTGGGATAACTTCATCCCGTCTGGCTCTATAGACAATTATGAGGGCTATAAGTGACAGCGGAATCTATGCAACAGCGCGAAAGCGTCGACATTTCGAAGAGAAGCTCTCAATCTCAACGAACTTGGCCCCAACAAGATTTTCGTTTACGTGTAGCGACGCCGGTGGCACGCTGTTGACCTAACAGTGTTAGAGGGCTCGGATGGACAGGCTTTGACTTCCAGCACTGAACATGCATCCGCATTAGCTGAGCACTTCTCTTCCGTGTTTGCAGATGGGCATACGCGTATGCCCAATTCGACATGTGAAGCTCCTACGGAACTCGAGTGCCTGGATTACGGTGTATGAGATGTCCGCAGTCTACTCTCCAGTCTTAACGGCGCGAAGCCTACCGGAACCAACGGCCTCCATCCGCTACTTCTAAACTCCCTATCGGCCATCATCTCGCTTGCTGTGCTTGATCTGTACAACAGTTCATTGTCTGGAGATGCATTGCCGAGCGACTGGAAGTGCTCAGTAGTGAATCCGATTCCGAAGGGCGTTGACGCGACAGGCAAATACTGGTCGATTCGTCTGACCACTTTTCTGGCGAAAGTGCTTGAGAAGATTGTGAAAAGGGTCTTCGCTAGCTGTTGGAATCGAACGACCTCAAGGCCGCGCAGCACAGTTTCATGAAGGGCCGCTCCTGCATCACCACCCTGCTGTTGACGTGACAAGGATGGTCGCAGGCGTTGAGTCAGGGGAAATCAGTAGATGTTATCTGATTAGAGTAAAGCTTTCGATAAAGTGAACCATGAGATCCTCCACAGGCTGAGGATGTGTGGTATTCGTGCCCCACTGCACCAATGGATCAGTGACTTCTCCATTAGGAGAAAATGGCGAGTACAGGTGAATGACCACCTAACGGAATGCTACCTCTCCACTAGTGGCGTACCCCTAGGCACAGTACTGATCCACATTAATGGAATACCTCACTTTTCGGTCGTCCTGTGCATTGTTTGCAAACGATCTGATAATTTGGCGGGTTATTGATTCTCCCGACGCCTGTGACGTCCTTCAGCAGGACCTCGACCGTTTGTCCCTGTGGTCTGCAGAAGTTGGTCTGCTGGTCACCGCGGCCAAGTCGTCGTTTATGAATCTGGGGAATTATGGTACTGAGCGTGTTTACACCCTAGCCGGCCAATCGTTGTATCCCACAAGCTCAGTAATGGATCTACGTGTACTCTCACGCTGTGATCTGCAGTCCGTCGACAACCCGAACGGACTGTACGGAAACGGACTACGCCTGCTTTGTGCGCTTACACTCAGCTTCTGCCCTTGGTCTGAAGAGATTGTCACTCTCCTATTTTATTCCATGATGAGAGTGATGCTTGAGTATGGCTCACCTACCGATTGTCCGATCACAATAGGTGTGAAGTGCAGAGACTGGAACGGGTTCAGCATGTAGCTACCCGGCTCGCGTTCGGAATGCAGCAACCATAGAGAAATCAGTCTGATCTCTATCGCCTCCATAATCGTTCACAGATTGACTGCCGCTCGTGAAAGTCGTATTTGTGAGGAGCAAGCCGGGTGTAGTCGGGGACGTGGATGCATGGACCACATATTCACTTTGCGTCAGTTGTTGGAACACCGTCACACATATTGGCGGCCCACCGTACTCGTGTTCCTCGACATCAAAGGTGCATTCGATCCGTTTGATCGATGTGCCCTTTGGAATTGTCTACTCAGGAAAGGTGTACCTGATAAATATGTAAATCAAGAATGTATCTGAACTGACGTCAAGGTTGCTACGACCACATAGAATCTTGGTAGCCCACAAACCAACAGGTACTCTGCGAAGATTGCTTTCAAGACCGAAAGACAAAGTTAAACAAGGCAGTCAGAATGATGTCATCTACAAAATTAACTGCAAAGAGTGTGACAAACACTACATCGGACAAACCGGAAGGAAACTATCAACACGGATCAACGAACACAGAATGGCCATACGGAGACACGACCCGCATTCATTAGTTTCCATGCATGAAGACCAAGAAGGCCACCACTTCGATCTAGAGAACGTTAAGATCCTAGCCCGTGGAAATTCGAAGCAAGCTAGAGAATTCTTGGAGGCATGGTATTCCACCGACAGCTCAATAAACCGACATGTTGAAATAGATGCTATATATACGGCATTACGAATGAAAGATCACCGAATTACTAGAAGAAATCTAACGGAAAAGAGCGCTAGACTACTGCATCAAACGACGACAAGCGAAGCGTCCCACGCGCGTACACTACGAGGTGAGAATCAGAGATCGATTTCTATGGTCATGTGCTCGTCGAACAATCCAAACTCAGAGTAGCGGCTAGGAGATCGATCACTCACACTCACCGACGCCTCGTACGCGCCACACTGCTAAATACACTCGCACTGACGATGTCACCTCGAGTGGTGACGAAACGTTTGCAGTCAACCTGCCGAGCTCAGCGAACAATCAGCCAATCAAATATGTAAATATTATCCGATCATTATACGCGCGTAGCTCAGGCAGAGTGAGGGCTTACGGCAAGCCTTCGTCGCCCTTCAAAATCTCCAACGGTGTGAGACAAGGATACTCGTTGTCACCTTTCCTCTTCAACTTCGCTATTGACGAAGTCATGGAAATCACGTTTACAGGACACGACTTAGAAGATGTGGATCTGCTCCCAGGAGAACGACTTCTTGACTTGGAGTATGCTGACGATATTGCCCTAATCTGTGACAGCTCCCAGTCATACCAAGCTGCACTGGACAGATTAGCACTGGCTGTCCGCCGCTTTGGGCTTTGCTTTGCACCATCGAAATGCAAAGCGTTCCTCCGAGATTGGTAGGGATCGCCTCCTGTGCTGACCCTTGGTGGGGATTAGCTAGAAGTCATTCGAAAATTCAACTACCTGGGAAGTTGTATCAGCGCCCTTGGGATCGAAGACGAGATCACGAAACGTATAGCAAAAGCTCGAAATGCTTTTGCTAACCTTCGCCACCTATGGGGGCGGCGCGACATCACTCTCGCCCTGAAGGGTAGAATGTACAATGCAGCGGTACGTTCGACCTTACAGTACGGTTGCGAAACCTGGCCTAATAGATCAGCGGACATAAAGAGGCTAGTTACGTTCGACCATCGGTGCCTTCGCAGTTTGGCTCACATCTGGTGGAAACACCGCGTGGGTAGCGAGCGTGTCCGACGCCTTGTTTATGGCACAGAAAAAGGAACTGAACCGCTCAGCACCGTGATTTCACGCACCAGGCTCCGATGGGTCGGCCACGTGTTACGCATGCCAGCCCACTGACCCCCGCGACGTGCGTTGTTTGCGCGCCGGGGGTTTGGATGGAAGAAGAGGAGAGGTGGCCAAGCAATGACTTGGTCGAGAGGAATTGAGGCCCTCACTTTGGAGCTGTCCTTGGTTGGAGCTTCACGGCTCCCTGATTGGGGTCCAAAAGACGATGAACACGTTTGGCTGGATACACTTGCTGACATGGCAAGGAGCGGACCTCAGTGGTGTTCTTGCTGTGAGTTTCTTTGTCCCTCACCATCCCTTTTAGTCTCCCCTCCACCTACGATCTCATTTCTTAGCGTAAAACAAAATAATTTTTCTTTTTGCCTAGTAGCCCGCTGGTGGCTTACCGGAACCATGCCCATCCGTTGCTGGTAGCTCAGCTGGCATGCAACTATTGTATTTATTTTTCTTTGTGTATTGCGGCACAGTAGCTGAGGTGTTTCCCATTTCTAGCTGACGTGTATAATGATAATGCGCGTTATGGTGTATGAAGACCGAGATAGGAGACTAGCGCTTTATACTCTGTCATATCGTCGGCTTCGAGTTGATCTCATAATGACGCACCGGATATTGCACCTGGACCACTTCCCTATGTTGAGGCCGCTGCTGCACGTTCACGCACCAAGCAGCACACGCGGACACCGGTACAAACTGGTGGTACCGGATTTGAAGCGTATCGCTCACCCTCTGATCCACCTGATAAGATATTGGAACAAGTTGCCGGAGACAATAGTCGAGACGAAATCTGTCGGAATTCAAGAGATTCCTCGACGCCCACTTTGCAGATTACAGGTATAGGGAGCGTATCGCAACCGGATAAAACTTCTTGCAACTGTGATATGCTGCCACTGCGCAGGATCACCGACGTGATTCCGCGTAGGTGCCCGATTTATTTTCATTATTTTTCTTAGTGGTCCACTGTACAGGGTCACAATGAGGTCATTCTCCACAGCATTAGGAATTGGCCTCGATCAGAACCCAAGCCCCTTCAGGTATTTGACACTTCGTTACTGCGTACGCGACTTCCTATCATTTTGATCAACTTCCGTTAACACCGACCACGCATTCGTGTGTGCGACCGTTTGCATGCTTTTCGGTGGCTCAACCAGGGCCAATCAGACCCGACTGAGGCTGTCTTGCCGAACTACTTCTTCGTGGTACCAGCTGGGTGGTTCGGGTGTACCCCGTTCCAGCGAAGTATTTGGAGACAGTTTTCCATCTCGGTGGGGCATTGTAGTCCAGCGATTATGCTTATTTAATGAGGAGTATTGGGCCCCTGTTTGGTGATCTACCAAACGAAAGATGCACCAACTGAACATTCAGTCAGCGCCTCCCAATAGGCGCGATTCCCTGAATTCGCCCCGCTGCCTTGTGGGTAGGTTATTTAGCCAAATGCTGTGGGTGGGGTCCTCTAAGTCAACTCCCTACTTCGGCTTGGGCAACCGGGTAGTATCACGCCCTCTCACAAAACCATGGACTGTACTACAACGCGGACATCGGCTACCGTTTCTGCTTCTCACATCTACGCGACTTCATCACACGCCAATTGTCTGTTTGCTAACAATCCTTACTTTCCGTTATCCAATCCATGTGTTCAACATGCTGGCTGCGATTTCGGTCGCGCCGCGAACCACGGAGTTCAACCTATGGCTCTCCTTCGCCCCTGATCCTCGTTCCGTCTGGCGTGCTTCAACGTTCGGACACTCATGCAGATTGGACAGCAAGCCGGTCTAGCGCGTACCCTACAGTCCCTCGATATTGATGTCTGCTGCTTTTCAGAAACCCGATTTTAAGATCCCAGCCCTGTGCTAACATTGACATCCCCCACTGACCACGAAGCCAGATATCACCTACGTCTTTCAGGAGATCCAGAAGCAGCCTCAGTGGGTTTGGCTGGTGTAGGTATAGCAATAAGTGGCAAGGCCGAGGCGGCACTACCAGACTGGCTCCCGATTAACAGCCGACTATGCTCCTGTAGCCTAGAGGTAACGGTCGGCCCGTAGCCTAGAGGTAACGAGCTTGGCTCATAATCTTGCTGCGCAGGTTCGAATCCACTTAGGGGTGGACGTCCTCGCAGTATGCTCAGCCCGGGAGCGACTGGTGGTGGCAGCGAAGCGCCGTTACGGCGTGCAGCTGACACGTTATTATTATTATGTGCAGTTCGGCTTCGGGGTTCTTGTAGAATCAACAGGCGCCGCGAACAGAGACACAACTTGTTTGTGATCTCCGTGTACACTCCAACTGACTGCAGTGGCGGCTCGATCAAGAACTAATTCTACCGGGATCTACATCAGCTCTTGACTAATGCTAAATGTCGGATGTCTTTGTCCTTGCTGGAGATTTTATGCACGGGTTGGCCGCCTGTTACCATACAAACGCCACCTTGGTGGTCACTACGCGCCCGATGAGAACCGCTCTGATAACGGAGAGAGGCTTCTCCCATTGTGCGAAGACAACCATATGTTTCTCTCGAGCACTAACTTCAGGCGTACCAAGAAGCGTTCCGCAACGTGGCGTCCCCCTTCGCCAACACAACCGTTCTCTCAAACTGATCACATTGAAATTAGTTTCATATGACGTGGCAACGTGCTTTACTGCACGTCCTTTTGGTCCACCTCCGTTGACTCAGATCATGCAATGGTCTGCGCAAAAATCTGCATTGCTTTGGGGATTCCCGAAACACGAAGTATCGCAAGATTGATGTAAAAAGATTAACTGATTCCTCCGTCCAGGCGAGCTATCAGTCTACACTGGCATACGCACTCAAATGCAATCCACCGCAAGACATAGAGCAACACTGGACTTGTATACAGAAAGCGATGATCATTACCGAACAGTCAACCTGCGGCTTAGCTCGACGCCACTTAAAGGCTTGGATCTCTGCTCGTTCTCTGAAGCTGTTCGAACGCCGCAAAGATATCCCGGCGGAATCAGATTGCAACGAGCCGCGCCGTTCTGTCAACCGGCTGCTTAAGCAAAGCCTACACGGATCGCGAGGCATGGTGGTATGAGCGTGCTTTAGAGATGGAGAACGCTGCCTTCTCTGGCAACAATCGCAAGCTTGTCCAACTCATTCAGTCCACTGGCCTCAGGAAGCCTAGTGGCAGTGAGGTTATTTGCGAGATGAATAAGTCTCCGATCACCAAACAACTGAGGCGTATGGACCGCTGGGCCGAACACATTCACTCGCAATTCAACTGATCTCCACTGTCCATCAGTACGTACAGTACACCTTGTTGTTCACCCTGGCCCGTCCCACTGAATCCACCCAGCGAAGCGGGAGTCTGCCTCGAGATTCGACGCTTGAAGCGGTTCAAGGCTGCCGGCACAGACGGACTTCCTCCGGAGCTGTTCAAGTACGGCGGCGTGGCGACCATTAACCAGCTGACCTCGCTGTTCGCAAAAAACTGGCATGAAGATAAAGTGCCCTCCTCTTGGGGTGGATTAGTTATTGTCCCCAATTTCAAGAAAGCCGCTCGCACTTCACGTGCAAATCATCGCGGGATTAGTCTTATTTCAGTTGCCTCTAAGCTAATGGCATCAATTCTGCACCGCAGACTGTCCCCAGTACATGAATCATCCTACTGTGAAGAACAAGCTGCGTTCCGTCTCGGCCGCGAATGCGTGGATCAAACATTCACGCTCCGCCACTTCCTCGAACATCGCCACATTTATCACAGGCCCACTATGGTTGCTATGGTTCCTAGACATATGTGCCGCTTTTGACTCCGCTGATCAACTTGCTTTATGGCGTTTGTTGTTAAAGAACGGGGTGCCAGAGAATTATACCGCCATCTTACGAGCACTTGACCTTCATTCATTCGGCAGAGTGACGGTCTATGGCAAGCTTTCCTCGCAATTCGCTGTCAATAGCGGTGTGCGACAGGTTTGCCCTATGTCCCCATTCCTCTTCAACTCCCTAATAGAAGACGTTCTGTCGAGTGCTCTAGAAGGCTTCCAACATTTTGGCCTAGAGCTACTACTGGGTGAGCACGCGACCGACTTAGACTATACTGATTATATCGCCTTACTTGGTGACGATCCTCAGGGTATGCAACTCATTCTCAATCGTTTGGCGGTTGAAGCATCTAAGCATGGCATGAGCTTCGCCCCATCGAAGTGTAAAGTACTGCTCCATGATTGGCTTATATCTGCTCCCGTGCTCACTCGCGAAGATGCACAACTTGAACAGGTAGATAGTTTCGTCTACCTTGGAAGTTGTGTTCATGCTGACGGCACTATCAGCAAAGCAGTTACTCTTCGCATCGCTAAAGCCCGATCAACATTTGCCAATCTGAGGCACTCGTGGCGTCGTCGCGACATCGCATTCTCGCTAAAGGCCAGTGTTTACAGCGCATCTGTTCGATCAGTGTTGCTGTATGGGAGCGAGTCCTGGCCAATTCGCGTGGAAGACATGCGTCGTCCTTCTGTCTTCGATAACGGTTGCTTAAGGAGGATTGCTCGTGTTTGGTGGCAACATCGAGTTAACAGTAATGACGTTCGATGTCCCATCTTAGGGAATACGAGTATTCCCTTCAACAAATCAGATCGACAGATGTAACGAGATTAGCTGCATTCGACCACCGGTGCTTTTTCAGCTTAGCCCACATCTGATGGGAACACCGCGTGAGCGATGAGCGTGTTCAGCGCTTTGAATTCGGTGTAGCAAGAACGAGTGAACCACTCAACACCTATATTTCGCGCACCAGCTTCCCATGGCTGGGCCCTGTGTTGCGTATGCCGATATACTAACCTCGCGACATGCGTTATTTGCTCGACCGGGGTCTGAAAGGATGAAGAGGGAGGCCAACCGATAACTTGGTCAAGAGGAATAAAGACCCTCACTTCGACGTTTGTCTCCGTTGGAGCATCTTGACTTCCTGCTTGGCTTCCGAAAGATGGCAAAACAGGTTTAGTTGGATACACTTATTAAGATGGCGATGAGGCGACCTCAGTGGCGTTTGTGTTATGAGTTTTTATGTCCCTCTCCATACCGCTTGGATTCCCGCTTCATCCACCATCTGACTGTCGATTCATAATATTGAGCAACGCATAACGTTACTTGTTTCTACATTACAATTTCTACTACTTCTTATGTTACATTTTCTTTTTTTCAATTACCCTTCTGCATCTTATTACAGCACGATAGCTGAGGTATTTTTTACGTCCAGCTAACGTGGAGAATGATGATGCAAGTACGCATCTCGGTGCACCTGCCTTGCATCACTCACTGTTGCCCCCGCAGATCGATGAACAACTTGTTGACTGGAGTCGAAAACGATCACCATAGATTCAGCTCGGTTGGCTCACTCAGCCTACAGACGACACACACCGTTTGTGACTGGCAACATGGCATGGCCTCTGAATTAGCCACAATTGCGCACATGTCCTGACTGACTTACCACCCACTTGCTTTGCTTCTGTCGTTATAATCATCTAGATCCTAGAGCAACGTGGTTGCAATATGGTATCAATGCTAACAATGACAACCAACCATTACTTGCACCGCATTTTATGAGCTTCTTATACTTTTCATCTGCTTTATGGCATTTCTACAATACGCCGATCCTGACTTTCTTACGTATGACTGGCGTGTTTCACGAACTAACTGTTGGCTTATTGGATTTTTATTAGTACCACAATTTCTAACGACCCGTTTGCTTACATCGTACCATCCTGTTTCCCTGCTCTTCAGGCGATAGGGAGTGATTCGGGTGTCTCTGACGAACTGCACGCCCTCCAAGTGAGTCACCGATCTTATACTTAACTTTCATCTGGAGTCTACGCACTGTTTCACTTATTTCACACGTTATCTAGGGACGAGAAACACCTTAGCTCTCATACCGCATTGATTTGTTATACATCTCTGTTCCAATGGAATCATGTTCATCCTCGAGTTCTTGCAAATTTTACGCAGTTTCAGCTCTTTTGACACCGGAGACGTCACTCAAGCAACAGAACGATTTGATCTGATTCAGCAAGTGGAACTCATGTGAGCCTAGACAGATCGGCTTAGTCACCTAATCCATCAGAGTTGCTGCCTATGAGCACTCTCACTGGATCGCGTACTTACGTCGTTTGTCAACTCATCGGGAACCGTTTACCGAAATCAGAGAGGGTTGTGTCTTATTTCTTTACAAACTCTTTTCCGGGCACAAAGCAACTACTAACACCGACTGGTATTTCGTTAATTAAGCACATCTAGCTGATGTGGTATTGCTTCGCCTGTGGAGAGGATCACACAATGACAACTGAGATATTTAAGCAGAAACGCTACCACGTTCTAGCAGTACGGGCCGTCATCCACAATCATTTGGTGTGTTCTCGTACAACCGTCGATGTACTAGTTTGAGACGGGGTGGTAGTTCAGTAATGACAACGGTTATCTTTATCGCCAACATTATTCTGAAACATTTACTGGATAATCAGGACATTCTCTGCTACCGTTCACACTACTCATACAATGAGAATCCTTGTGAAACAGCCCCACTTTCTACAGTACTTGTTACCGCTCGCTCAGTTTCACCGGTATGTGTCTGAGGTTATAGTTTGTAAATCATTTCTGTCTCCATTCGTTTCATGGATTGGTGCGGAACCACTGAGTCCTTTCTGGTTTGTTCTCAGATAAACTAACTGATCGATTTCCTTTCCTTGGGGACGTTGGACTGTCTTGTTTAACAACCCCATCCCAATGTTTTACTATGAGCTTCGAGGGGAGTTTGTCCCAAAAAGTTTATGGAGGTGGTTGTCACCCAGTTTCTAGCTGCTCCACTTTGTACAAATAATGTTAACCAGCTACGATCGTCCTTTATTCAACCAGCAAGCTATTACTTAAATGCGGCTTAGACGTGCCTTGCTAGAACTTTACCATCTCACACTGCTTGTTTACCTGTACCTTTAACAACAACTACGGGCAAAGCGCATGCATGCTTATCGATGGGACTCAGTTCTCATCTACGTTCTTACTCTTGAACCTATTTTAATCACACCTTCGCCGTATCCCATTCCTTACTTCATTTGACCTTCGTAGATTAATATGCTCTCCTGAATATTGCATGTCAGTTAATCTCCCAGGGTTAGTGACTATATACTGGCTACCCTATAGCATTATACTCGTCATATTTCGAGGAGTATCTCAGGTTACTCCCTTGTTCCGCACACGGAATGGCCACTGGTGGACTACTCCACTTTTCTTCCCTTTTAATGTCTGTGTGTAGTACCTGAGGTTTGCCATATATAGCACACTACTGAGCCTTGTGGCTGATCGCAGCCTGGTCACTGTCACTTGTATTCCGTCTTCCCTAATCATTTTCATCCGGATCAGTTTCATTTCTGTCGGTCGATCTAATCCCTTACTTCCCACTGCAGCTTATCGTCCACATTCATCACTAACTTACGGACGAAACATGATCCATCCTCTCATACAGCATCCCCCCCCACTGATTGCACCATTTCAGAACCACATCCCGGTCACGAAGCTCGTGTGCATGGGGTATCAAGTATCGCGGTCCTCCTTGGACTGGCAATAAAACGTTCCGTGTTTGTCATAATGCTTACGGTTATTTTGAAAGGCATTGCGAATAAATCCCCTCGATCCTTCCACATTTACTTTTGGGTTGCTGATGAAATCTGGGCTCATTTGGCAATCGTTATGGAATTTCGTTCCTAAGTTGTGTGCTGCAACTCATATAATCTTTGTATCTGATGACAAGATGCAGTGCGGTCTGCATCATTACGGCGGTTGTTTGGTCGGGATTCACTTCTGATTTCAGCCAAATGATGTAACATTTTATGGTGATTATGTTGGCTAGTTTTATCAGTTTCATTATCCTTACCCCTCTCGTCAGGCTTCGAGTTTCAGCGATTTCCTATCCAAATTGAGCAACAGCCTGGAATCCACAAAGGAGTGTTTCTTCACCATCTACCACTTGGTCAAGTCTAATATAGAACAAGGACTGGTAAGCCATTCGCTCGGCCAGGCAATTGTACGTTTGTCTTTGTGTTACAACTTTAATCATTTTCTATATATGGAGCACGTTTTACCTTTGCAGACGTTTACTGCGGCTTTCCGTATCTGATTTAGGTACGGCATTCTAACTCCGTGTCTACCTGTCGTTTCTCATCTTCCCATTGAACTATTCTCTTTCCTCATGCATTGTTGTTCTTCATCGTAGACCGATGGGTCTTTGCTGGAAATCGATGGGGGCGAGGAGAACGGGGACATCTCCGAAGCAGACGATCAGACAGCGGTGGCCGTTAGCCCCGCACCAAATGATCTCTCCAGCTCAGTCCAGGAGGACAGCGCAAGTTAGTAACTAAACGTGCATTCCTTCTACTCGTCTCTAATTTTTTGGTCAGTTTAATTTAAGCTACCACACGTATGTGCACTTTTGATTCCACTTTTGCCTTTCGCTCGAATGGATTCTATGGAACGCCAGGGATCGCACTCATTTCCCACGACTACTGATGGGAACCCGATCATGCTTGCGCATAAAAATGAATGTGTAAGGCTGTGGACTCGTATTTTTAAAACATGACAACTATTCTAGAACGCGATGTGCTCCATCACAAGTGTACATTCGTCCAGTACCCCAGATGAGCAACTTCAGTGTTAGTTATAGCACCTGGATACGTTACTGGTATTCTGTTTTACTGATCATCATCATCATCATTGTACACCTTAGCTAGGGATGAGAAAACACTCAGCTATTGTGCCGCAATACAATTCAATTGGGTCACAGCAAGAAACATCAACAAAGTAACGACAACAAATATTATTATGTTTGCTTTATTTTATGCATTAACAAGATCGCGAATAGGGCGATGCTATACTGGAGCTGGAGGGATAAAGAAATTCGCAGCACAAACACCATTAGGGACGGCTCTTCGCCGTGTCAACGGGTTCATCGTCCTTGGGACCCCACTCCTGCAGTCGGAAGGTACTAACTGATGCCAACTTCAACGTGAGCACCGTCATTCCTTTTAACCAAGTCTTCGGTTGGTCTCTCATGTCCGTCCAGACCCCGGTCGCGCAATCAACGCGCGTCGCGTGAGTCGGTGTGCTGGCATGCGCAACACATGCCCCAGCCGTCGTATCCTGTTGCATGGAATAACGGTGCTGAGCGGTTTATTTCCTCTTCCTGGACCAAATGCAAGGCGCCGAACATGCTCATTGCTTACACGGTGTTCCCACCAAGCGTGAACCGGTGGTCAAACGCAACTAGACTCTATGTTTATCTATTTGATGGAACAGGTTTCATTACAATATTGTAGGGTTGCTACTGATGGCTGCATTCTATTCCGCCATTCAGGGCGAGAGTGGTATCGCGTTGACGCCATAAGTGACCAAGATTAGCAAAAGTATCTCTAGCTTTTGCTGTACGGTTCGTGATCTCATCTTCTATTCCATAAGCGCTGCTACAATTGCCTAGATAGTTAAACTTTTGGTCTCCACCAAGGATCGGCGCAGGAGGCGACCCTGTCGATCTTGGAGGCCATGTATATCTTTGTAGGACACAAAGCACAACTCGAAGCGGTCGACAGCCATTTCTGGTATATCCAGTGCTGATTGGCACGTTTATGGGCAATATCATCATCATGCTCCAAGTCGTGAAGTCGATAACCTCAGAGTAACTCCATATCTTGCAAGCCATGTCCCTTGAATGTAGTTTCCGTAATTTCTTCAGTGACAAAGTTAAAATAAAGGGTGACAGCGAGCAACCTTGTCCCACACCTCTAGAAATATTGAACAGCGTTGTGAGCTTGCCATAAGTATTCAATTTGCTTGAGCTGCGTGCCTAAAGCGCTCTGACAATATTTACGTATTTTCGGGCACATCCTTCTTTATTACACAGTCTTAAAGGGCACATCGATCCACCGATTCGAAGGCATCTTTCATGTCGACGAACACGACTATGGTCGGTCGCCAGTATAAGTGGCCGTGCTACAATCATGGGCGCAAAGTGAAGATTATTCATCGCAGCCTCGGTTTCGACGGAGACGAATGTGGTTTTCGCGGGCGCCAGTCAAAGTGTGAAAAACGTCAGTGACAAGTCATTTAGGGCGATAGAGATCAGGCTGAAACCTCTGCAGTTGCTGCATTCCGAACCTGAGCTCCCCATCGAACAATGAAACAACAACAGGGCAGCTTCAGTCAACCGGGACAGTTCCATGCTCCCACAGTTTCACTGAAATATCGTGTACATATTCCATAGGTCATCCGAACTTAACGAGAGCCGGAGGTAAATCATCTGGTCTGCGGCGTTACTCAACTTCAGCGCTCCGATCTCACATTTGACCTCTGTGCTAGAGGCGATTTAAAAGAATAGTCCAAGAATCAGGGAAATCACTGGCCGGCAGTGAATATAGTTGTTCCCATCAATTAAATTACTTTTCAAAGTGCTCAGCCCAACGCTCCGAGCGTTTTGACAGACTTCGTATAGGCTGTCCACCATCGTCGCATATGATCTGGTTAATACCAGGTATCCTGCTACGCATTTCTCATATCAGGCGCAATAACTCCCAATAGTTGCGAAGGCAACGGCTGTTTGCATCTCCGACGCACGATAAGACTGCTGAGCTTCGCGCTTTCTCCTCAGCCTAGCACACAGTTTCCTCTGAGGTCTTTGCGAGTCTCGTTGTGTTCGCTTCCAGCCGGAATGTGTCAGAGATTCTCCGGAAGTTCCAGTTGCTGCGTAAAGGCCTAATGTCCAGTTTGGTACTCGGATTTACCACATGAAGGCGGTAACCGGAAGAAAACGCACACAAAAGTGTGCACAGCATAAGGTACACAAACATATATGCGCGCACGAAGAGTACGCACATGCAAGAACGTTCACACCAAAAATTCGAAGAAAGTAGAAGCCACGATTAACATTCACGCACAATAATATGCCTCGACGGGGAGTCGAACCCCGGTCCACGAATTTCCGGTCCGTTGCTCTACCACCTGAGCTACCGAGGGCTGACGATTAGGTGCGCAAATTTTAACACATGTCTTCTGCTTGGTGCGCGACGTGTTGCCAATAAGTTCACAGTACCTGTCCTGATGTTGCAGATTGGCTCACTCACCCGTCACTTCCCAATAGACCGAAGTTCCTGTCCTTCAGACAGGAACTTCGGTCTATTGGGAAGTGACGGGTGAGTGAGCCAATCTGCAACATCAGGACAGGTACTGTGAGCTTATTGGCAACACGTCGCGCACCAAGCAGAAGACATGTGTTAAAATTTGCGCACCTAATCGTCAGCCCTCGGTAGCTCAGGTGGTAGAGCAACGGACCGGAAATTCGTGGACCGGGGTTCGACTCCCCGTCGAGGCATATTATTGTGCGTGAATTTTAATCGTGGCTTCTACTTTCTTCGCACTTTACACTACTCACAAACATACACCAAAAATTGTCCACAACTTCCGTACATCTCAGCGTTTTGACAAATTCGCCACAATTGACTATGCGTAGCACTAACAAGATGTCCGTGTTGACCACCAACAGCTACACATTGTTAAAATAACACCCAAGCAGGCCAACGTGTGTAATTGTTCTCCACCTTGCATTTACATTTTGTTGGGGAAAGAATTAAGGACCCTAATATTAAAACATTTGAAATGATGAAACTGTTGCTGCCTGCTTTGTTGCCTAAACTGATTTTAGTGGACTTTGTGAAAGTTTCCATAGACGCAGCGCGAATTGCTTTTCTAGACGCTGAAATCAAAGGCTGCTGTTTTCACCCGTGCTCTAGACTCATCAGGAAAGTGAATCTAAAGTGGGCCTAAAGACTGCATTTGATATAGATGTGAACATGATACTCCATCTCAAGTCTCTGGCTGCGTTAGCCTTTGTCTCAGTCAATGATGTAAGAGGAGTTTTCGTTGGACACATTGGCAAGCAGTACTCGTGCAATCAAATCTTGTACACTTGTTGCTTAATTTACATTTGCTACGACATTACAGCCAGTTTAAATATAAATGTTTTATTAACAATAATTTACCTGATATCATAATGTGAAAGTAGGCCTTTTTCTACGTGGGCATCTAAAAGTGGCAAGTCCCGTTTAGAACAACGCATTGATAAAGGGACGCGCGTGTATTGTGCGTATATAGGAGTGAAGCGCTATAAACCGACACAGGCGAAACGTACTAGCTACGAAAGTGGGAGTAACGGCGTGCGTCACAGCTGCGCGAGGGATTCGACCGTAGGCGTGTTTTTTGTTTCAGTCAACCTACTTAACACATCGTCAACATTCCTTATCGGTCACCTAAAGTGTACAATAGGAGAAGTAATTCTGATTCGCATTTCGCACATCGTACTTAGACAAACCGGATAATTTGCAGACAGCTACATTTTTCCCCTCTGAACGTTTTTCTAAATAAACAAACAGTTTATTCTCAACAACCCGAGGTACGCCTGTACAAGCATGATTCTGGTGAGAGAACAAGTGTTCAGGAGATATACAAAAATATAACTTGTTTGCCATAACAGTGGATCTGTGGATAGATAAAAAGTATTCCACTTTCAAAGTTGGACTTGGGGAATCCGCTGGTGGTTGGGTTGCTACAAGCAATCTCTATTGAGACCTCGGTTCACTTGAGGTGGACCTCGGTCATTCCGATCACAAAGACCGTAGGTAAAATGGGAACATTATAGTGTTGCTCATCCCAATACTGGCACCCCAAGGCCGCGGTTTCGTCCTTGTTGGGACTCATCAGTTGGAGATAGCCTGAGTTGGGCTGGAACTCAGAGCCATAAGCACTATGGCACTGAGATCCGCGAGCAACGCTTGGTACAGCGGAAACGAATTCAAAGTTAGACTTTATTTAACCTTCTCATTTCTGTCATTCTGCTGCGTACTCCCTGTCAATTTTGCTTGTTATTTTTTTCAAGTCCTATGTTGGTTGTGGTGTGGCTACGCTTGATGTGAATATTGACAAGGTGCCTATCTGCCTAGTACCCTTCACCTCGGTTGCTGTCTCCAGGAGACTGTTATCGTTGCTCGGGGGCAGGGTTCACCGTCCTCGTGGCCTTGCGAGGCTCAAAGAGTGGCTCCATCCAATATGCAACGGACTACGGCCCAGTCATCGCCTTGTGTCCGTCTGGTATGCATGATTCCCTAATTAGGTTGACAGTAATGCTGCTGCTATGCATGTTGAGGGAGTACGGGTCGTCTCCGTTAAGGGAACGTGGCTCTCATCCACATGCCTCCCGGTCTTATTACTATGGGTTTACACTGGATATGCGGTGTGTGGGTGGTGCGGCGCAAGTCATTCATGGTCCCTCCGTAGATGCAGGTGTCCTGCGGTTGCCCGGTGGAGG